GCATAGAGTTTCCAAGGAACAGCAGATGTTTGAACTGCCGACCTTGTGGTTAGCGGTTTAGTGCTTGTCCTAAAGCAGCACACCAGGACTCCATGAAATTCTAGCAAAGGTAAATCTATAGAGACAGACAATAGATTAGTGGTTGTTTGGGCCTGGGGGTGGAAATAGCAATTAATTGAAAATGGACATGAAGGATTCTAAAGGTGATGAAGATGTTCTAAAACTGGATCATGGGGATGGTTGCACAACTGATGATTTTATGAAAAATCACTGGTTTGTACACTTAAAATGGTGACGTTTTTGAAACTGCAACCTAATAAAGTTTTTAAAAACAGTTTCTGAGGCCTTGAGAAGGCCATACATTTCAGCAATGTATGAGGATTCCTATTTCTCATACCATTATTCACATTTGTTATTGCCTGTCTTTTAAATTCTGTCCATTCTACCTATAACAGCTATAAAAAACCCAAACCATTGTCAGAGAGCCGATTCTGACTCAAAAGGGACACCAGGGCAACCAAAAAATTAAGAAAGAAATATTTATCAAAACTTAAAATGAAGGAAAAAGGAAATCAACAAAAACAAAATAGAGTGGATTAAAAAATGTGAGTATAAAGCTGGTTCTCTGAAAAGACCAGTAAAATAGTTACTATGAATATAAGACCAGTAAAAGAGTTACTATGAACATCAGGAAAAAGAAGAGTGAGAAGATCCAGAAAAGACAAAGGCGCTGCCAGATCATGACCTTTCAATATCCCTGACCACAGAGGGGACAGGGCTCCTGGAAGAAATGGCTAATAGCAGGATGGAACAGAAAAGCACAAAGTAAGTCTCAGCTATGTGCTCAAAGACAAACAGAGTCATGCCAAAAGGCTCCCACTGACCAAATCTGAGTCACTTTGGGCCTCAAAACAAACTACAGTAATGACCAGTGAGTACACTGAATTAATAAAGGCCCATGGGGGGGGGGGGGAAGGAGGAGATCCATGGGTGTATAATGATAGTCCAAAAAATAGAGGGAAAAGGAGCACTTTTTACAGATAAATGAAGAAAAAATGACAGCATTGATACATTATCATTTATTTCTATCATTTTGTAGCTTCCATTATTATTATTAATTTAGGCAAGAATCATTAATAGGTTGGTTGGAAAACACTGTGTGAAAGATTGCTAGGGAAAAGGATTCTCACATGACCTCAAATTCTGATTCCAAGGATTATTCTCCAATTATAAAGGGAAACATGTATCTTCACAAACGAGCAAAACTGACATTGGACTTGTCCTGCTGTAACAAGAGAGCAGGGATTGGCAAGCTAGTCTGGGCTCCAAATCCAGCCCTCCTCCTAGTTTTATGCTTTAAAACAAATGGAAGAGATAAAAAATACAAAGAATAGTATTTCATGATACATAGAAACTTAAAAAAATTCAAATTTCAATGGCCACAAATACCGTTTCATTGGAACACCAAACCAGTTGCAGTTGAGTTGATTCCAATTCATGGGGGTCCCATGTGTGTCTGACGGTGCTCCACAGGGTTTTCAATGGCTGGTTTTTAAAGAAGGCCATTAGGTCTTTCTTCTAAGGTGCTGATGGGTTAGTTAGAACCTCCAAACTTTTAGTGAGCAGCTGGCCATATTAACAGTTTGTACTACCCGTGAACTCCTATTGGGACAGATTAGCTCTGATTTTCTGCATATTGTCTGTGGCTGCTTTCTTTTAAGAATGGTGACAGCTGTGACAGAGACTGTATCACCAATAGTCTACATGATATCGTATCTGACCCTTTACAGAAAATGTGCCAACCTGTGCAATAGAAAGTAAATAAGCACTCTGACCGCTCTGAAAAGGACCACATTAGCAGGTCCCTTTCTCATTAGAAAAATGTGAAAACAAATTCAAAATCATAATAAAAAAAACAAAAAAACCCACAGGCTTATTGTTTGGACAGATTGACGGAACCCTGAGACTGGCTCTTAGTCTCCAAGTCTGTAACTGAACTCACCCCTGTGATTCAATTTTCAGCCAAACTATAGGCAGTCTGTAAGGTACACTAGGGTGGTGGTGGTGGTGATGTGCCGTGGAGTCGGTTCCGACTCATAGCGACTCTGTACAGGGTTTCTGAGGTTGTAAATGAGGAGCAGATAGCCTCATCTTTCTCTGTGGAACAGCTGGTAGTTTCGAACTGCTGACCTTGAGGTTAGCAGCCCGATTCATATGCACTATGCTACCGGAGCTCCTTGTATACTGGGGAGGTATGTTTAAAAAAAAAAGCAACAAAGAAAATATACAACGTAATTTATGAACCATGGCAAAAAGACTTAACTTGAATCAAATCACAAGGAACCAATCAGACAAATCCAAGGATGTGGGACACTACACAACTGGGTGGACTCTTTAAAACATTCAATGAGAAAACCCTGACTAAAATATACCAGTGAAAGACAGAAAACAAATATAACTCACGAAGTCTAATTAGATCCTGGATCAAAAAAAAAAAAAACAGCTCTAAAAGATATTTTGGGGACAACTGGGAAAATTTGAATATGAACTATAAATTGGGTAGTATCGTGGAATTATTATCAATTTTCCTAGAGGTTGTAATGATATTGTGTGTACCAGGATTGTATTCTTTCACCATACTTATTCAATCTGTATGCTGAGCAAATAACCTAAGCAGTTGCATTATATGAAGAAGAACATGGCATTAGGTTAGGAGGAAGACTCATTAACAACCTGCGATATACACATGACACAGCTTTGCTTGCTGGAAGCAAAGAGGAGTTGAAATACTGATAAAAGACCAAAGACCACAGCCTTCAGTATGAGTTGCACCTCAGTGTAAAGAAAACAAAAATCCTCACCATTGGACCAATAAATAACATCATGATAAATGGAAAAAAGACTGAAATTGTCAAAGACTTCATTTTGCTTGATCTACAATAATGGAAGCAGTAGTCAAGAAATCAAATGACATATTGCATTAGGTACATCTGCTGCAAAAGACCTCTTTCAAATGTTCAAGAGCAAAGTACGAGGACTAAGGTGTGCTCGACCCAAGACATGGTATTTTCAATTGTCTCATATGCAAGTGAAAGTTGAACAATGTGATTAAGGAAGACCATAGAAGAGTTGATGCATTTGAATTATGGTATTGATTGAAGCCTATTGGAAGTACCATGGATTGCCAGAAGACAAACTAATCTTGTGTTGGAAGAAGTACAGCCAAAGTGCTCCATAGAAGTGAGGATGGTGAGACTTTGGACATGTTGTCAGAAGGAATCAGTCCCTGGCAAAGGACATCATGCTTGGTAAAGTGGGGGATCAGCAAAAAGGTAGACACAGGGACAGCAACAATGGGCTAAAACAGAACAACAATTGTGAGGATGATGCAGAATCAGGCAGTATTTTGTTCTGTTGAGCTATGAGTCGGAACCAACTTGATAGAACCTAACAACTTTTCTTTAAAAGGGCTAAAAGCCACACACTTGCAGATAATACCCACTTGACCTGGCTTCAATGACTGGATGATCAGAGCTCAACTAGAGAAGAAAGAAGAGGAAAAAAAGAGTCATCTGATACAATTTGAACTTGACCTACACCTTTAGATGCAGTAGCTCAAAAGAGGGAACAAATCTTTACAGCAAGGATCATTCCCACCCCCTCCATACACAGAGTAGACAGGGATGGGCAACTTGGACATTGGCTACTCAAAATGGGAGGGGAGGGCTACAAAGGCAAGAAGTGACTGGCTTACAAGCTTTCAAGAGGGAGCCTGAATCCAGAGGGTATGGAGGAAGGTAGACTCTCCACTGAGTAGTATCCAATCTGTCTAGGTGGGGCCGATGAATGTAGATGCGGATAGGTCTCTTGTGATACAATAGTGAATAATTGTTATCAGAACTGATTGGAAATGTAAAGGTAGACGTTTTGTAGCAAGAAGGGGAGTGATTAACTTTGCAGTTTAGGAGTGGAGGTCCCTGGGACCATCAAGGGAGAAGAGCAGAGAGCCAGACCCTACCCAGAGAAGCAGTGATGGAGGTAGAGACGATGATGTGGAGAGATGGAGTAGCTGGGGACTTCAGACACAGAGAGGGACAGGGGCTGTGTGTTGACGACCGAGGGGCAGGCTTGTAGGGTATACCCTTTGGTTGGGTGATGATGCATAGAGGGGATTGTAACCATGGCAATGAAATAATATACGATAGGATGAATGTAAAACTAATGTTCTCCCATGTAAACTATGACATAATTCACAATAAAACATTTAAAAAAAAAGGGGGGGGGTGAAAAGCACTTCTTTTATTTGACTATTTTATAAATATGCAAAGATGAATGACTTAGCGTCACAAAACCTCATAATATATTACTATTGTTGTTGCTGTTAAGTGTCATCAAGTCAGTTCCGATTCATAGTGACCCTGTATAGGGTTTCCAAGAAGAGGCTGGTGAGCTTGAACCACCAACCTTGTGGCTCAAACCGACCTTGCAGTCCAGCACATTAGCCCACAGCACCACACCAGGACTCCCATATACTGCTAGAAACAGGCACTATCCCAATTTTAAAGGGGAAGCAGAGATCAAGGCTCAAGGCCACATAAGGTAGTTACAGAGAGAAAACTGGATTCTCCTTTCATTAACTAGCATATATAGAATGCTACAGTTCAAACATTCCCGTGTTTCCATAAAAGGATGCTAGATCACCTAAGAGCTTGGTAGTACCTTTAAACATTTCAGGAGCTCTCTGCCTAGATCCCGGTCCAACTTGATGGCAAACACAATGTGTATAATAATGGTGCCTTCCACATGATGCAGTTCATCTGATGACATGGTAACAAGGTCCAGCAGCCTAAACAATTCAAGAGGGAGCTATGAGCAAGAGACAACAGCGTGGGTGCTCAGAAAGAACAAGTGGCCCAAGCAGAGCTGAACTTACAATCCCTGAAGACAGGCAGTAAGTACATATTCTATAGTCATTGTTTCCACTTCTGTACCTCATGCTCTCTCTTCCCAGTTCAATCTAATCAGGCTCTGGCCCCTCCCTAACCTCCAGGCCACTAAGAGTGTTCTTTTGTAAGGGTTACAAATGACCTACACATTGTCAAAACCAATAATCAAGTCCCATTTAAATTAACATCTCAGCAAATGTAATATGGCTGACCACTTATTTGTTGAAACGCTTTCTTCTTTTGCCTTCTTTTGTCACTGGCCTCTTCTTAATTATTTTTGATGGCTTCTCTTCCACTGCTTGACCTTTAAATGTAAGAATGCCTTTGCTGACATTCTCTTCTCTTCGCTCTCCCTCTAGATGTCCCCATCCAATCACACAACATGAATCCCTCTCTCTACAACTGCAGACTGCCTGCTCACCAGCTCTATATGCCATGCTTTATACATCTCTAAACAGCATTGTCAAAATGGGGCTTATTGTTTCCCCTAAATATGCTACTCTTCCAGTCTTTCCTAACTCATTCTACAGGACCACCTTCTGCATTGCTCAAACCAAGTAACTAAGTAGTCATTCCACAATAGAAGCAGTCGGGTGTACTAGGGCTAATAGCATGGACTCTGCAGTCAAACTACCTAAATTCAAAGAGACAAAAGAGGGTTGTTGGGAGGTTTAAAGTGGTTAGAACAGCACCTGACATGAGTAAACACTCTAGAAATATGTTCTTTAAAAAAATCCTTGATTCTTCTTTTGCTTTTTCTAGCCCCCAACTCCAATTTTCATTCTGTCAGCAAATTCTGTTGTCTCTATTTCCAGAACAATATTCCAAATTACCCATTTATCTCCATTTTCCTACTGCCACCCTAATTGAAATCAGTATCACCTATTTATTACTGGGATCATTACACTATCCTCTTACAACTGGTCTCCTCCTACTCTGGCCTCCTCCTCCTCCCAGTCCACTGGCCATACAATAAGTAAATACAAAACCTTTAAACACGAATCAGACTTCACTAGATTGTTTTAAGACTGTATTTGCTTTCCATCTGACTGGTAATAAAGTTCAAAGTCTTAAATTAACCTCATTTAAAAGTCCTAAGTGATCTGACACTATCTATCTCTTTGTTTACATTTTCGATGACCACAGCCACTCCTATTGCATTTACACAGACTTTTGGTTTCTCAGCTTATGTTCTGCTTTTATACTATTTCCCTCATCTGGCATGGTTTCTTCTCTGATGGATGTATTATGGCTCTCAGAGAGATTCCCCTGAACACCCAGGCTCCAGTAAGCTGTACTGTCATGGCCACATCATCCAGTTAATTTGTCTGCACAGCACTTTCCACTCTAAAATTTTTCTTGTTATTTGTTTATTTTTCTATTCTCTTCTCACTAAAATTTAGGCTCCAGGAGAGCAGACACCTTGTCAGGCTCATTACTGTTTATCCCAGGTCAAATAGTTCCTGGTACAGAGTAGATACCTACTTACAAATAGCTTTTAAACTTGTAATTTACAGAACAGTTACAGAACAAATGGAAGAGCTGATGAGGTTACACTATTAACTTTATTATACGTGAGCAGTTAAGAAATCGTTAGGGAAGTTCTGTGCTAGGTAAAGCATAAAAAGGAAGGTAACAATGAAGGAAAACATGCATTGAAAAGAGAATGTGCCAAGAGGCCTCTACTTGTCTACCATCACTTACTCATCTCCACTCTGCTCTTCATTGTACTGCTTGTCAAGCACGTTGAAAAAGGCAATGATTCCTTCCAAAACCCTCTTTTTGCTTCCCTAAGGGGGAGAAAAAACTGGAAAGGTCTCCTCAAGAAAGGAAAGATAAGCCAACTGAATTCAAAGTATGAGGGGACTTCAAAATCTTGTGGAAAAATAGAATCGAAAGATAATGGACTTTTACAACAAACTTTTTGAAGGTTCCTTGTACTTCTCTATTTAAAAGAATCTCAAGGACAAATTTAAACAGAGAAGCAACTGTCACCCTGAATCACATAAGAACATACAGAACACTTTCATGGTGAAACTGGGTCTTAAATATCTTAAGTGTCAGATTTCAAGAAGCCTATATTCTATCTTTTGTGAGACCATTATTCCTTTTACTACCATAAGAAAATGTGGTAGCATAAAAGAAAACGGTTTCTTTGGCTAAGGTGCATGAGTTTATTTAATAGATAAACTCACCATACATGAAAGGAAAGCATCTCTATCAAGAGCATGAATAAACTGAATGGCCCTAGCTGGTCATTTCACTACAATGAAAGAGAAACCTTTTAAAATAAAAAATACCTTTGAGGAGAGAACTAGAAGTTGATAGACCAAAGGTGGTATTTCTTGAAGAGTCAATTTGGAGAACATCTTTAACACTTTTTCCACCACAAATTCCACCTCTTCTGCAGTCAGAGGGACATCCCTGTGGATCAAAGATTCTAAAGGTTATAAAATTCAAACTCAAACCCTCTTCCAACTCATAGTGACCCTACTGGACAGAACAGAACTGCCTCCTAGGGTGTCCACAGCTGTAAATCTTTATGGAAGTTGACCGCAATACATCCTTCTCCTGCAGAAGGGTTGGTGGGTTTGAAACACCAATCTGCAGACAAGACTGGGTGCATTCAGGCTGGTGTGTGACTTAGGTTAGCAGTCAAGTGCTTTAATCTCACTGTGCCACCAGGACTCTTGTCTTTAGAAATATGTTGGGCTACATAATCGTTAAATTTTCATTAAAAATTTTTAAAGAAATAAAATTTAGAAGTCGAGAGTAAAAGAGACTAAAGAACAAAGGCATATTAATCTGCCCCTTTTGATTCCTAACAAAGACCTTTTAAAGGGACCAAAAACCTTACCTAAAAAAATGACCATAAAATAAATCATAATGTTATACTTTTAAACAACTGAAGCCCAAACTGGGAGTGAGGGGAGGGTGGAAAGAACGGAACCTGTAGCAGGAAATAAGGTAGCAATACTCTTATTCATGGACTACTGAGCAGAAAATGGAATGAGGATGCTTACTTGAACATGGAAGTGAGTTGGATCACATATTGCTGATCCCATCTGTTAAAGAAAACAACAAAAAATATGAATGTTTATTTCATTTTCATTTATTTAAATATTACTTTGTAAAATTACTAAGGAGAAAAAAAACTATTGGCTACTGTTTTTGCATCAGTTGGACACAAAGTAACAGGATTGCCATTCAAAACAAGGAGACAGCAGCTTTCATTTATCAGACTGGCAGAACAAAAAACTCTGAGGTACCCAGTGCTAGTGAGAGTGTAAGGAAACAAGTGCTCTTCACATACTACTGTAGGGAGCATCATTAATACAAGCCTCCAAGTATTACTTATTAACTTTAAAAACACATACAAAAAAAAAAAAAACACAACACATACAACCACAGACCCAATCAAAGGTTCTGAGACAGTTCTAGACATTAATAAGAAAAAATCACCTGCCAGAGCAGAAGGTGCTAATCAACTTCTTCTTATACTCCTCCCCACTCAGCTCACCTACAAATGAAAAATACACTGAGAAACAAATTTGATCAAACGAACAGATAAAGAACCACAAAAATGACAAGAAAGTTACCTTTTCCATAAGTTAGATTTTCTTTTTTGGTAGCAAGGGCAGTGAGAATAATGGGAAATAACTCCAAAGATTTTCCATTCACTAGGCTGCCTTCTCTAACAGCATCGATAAACTCATTGGCTAATTCAACCAATAACGGTGCTGGAAAATTATGAACCTAAAAGTCCATAGATAAATGTTAAGCAAAAATCCAAATGTGTAATATCTCCTCCCAAAAAAATAAGCTCTTTTGGTAAACTCACACAGAATTAAAGTTAATATCCAGAATTGTTCCTCTGAGAGATTCATGAAATCATTCTGCTGATATATACTTATAAAGGACTTCAGAGGTCATACTCCTCCATCACTATACGGTAATATTCTTAAATATAACAACTCTTCTAAAACAGCTGTAAGTCCATGATACACATGGAGGTGGTTTATAGCCCAACCACCAAGATTTTGTTTTTAAACAAGAGATCTTAACTCATAATAGGAACTATGCTAGTTTTACTACACATACATTTCCTTCCTTCAACAAATTATAAACGGAAAAATCTACCCCCTCAAATTTTCTCTTCCATCTTACCTCCAACATCAGTAATCCTATGATCTCAGATGCTACTTCTTTCTGCAAATCTCCCGATTCAACCAGCTGGATACAAAATGTGTATACCTTACGTCTCCTAAGGGCGCCAGCTTCCTCAGAGCATGGGGAACCTTATTGTTTCAAATAAGTGGTATAGAAATAAAGAAGAAAAAAAGAAGTTTTGTAAGGTTCAAGGGCAGTTAAGAAAAACAAACAGGCTTGGAGTTTAATGCAGAGCAGAATTACACATTTACTGATGATCAAGCACAAGGTCAGCAGCTCAAACCCACCAGCTGCTCCACAGGACAAAAAGGTTGTCTGCTCCCATAAAGGTTTAGAGTCTCAGAAAGTCTACACAGCATCGTCGCTATGAGTCCGAATTGACTCGATGGCAATGGGTTTGGATAGTGTTTATCAGGAGTCCTGGTAGCATAGTGTTTAAAGCACTTGGCTGCGAATCATTAGATCAGTAGTTCAAACCTACCAAATGCTATGCAGATGTGGCAGTCTGCTTCCACCCTGGAAACTCTATGGGGCTGAACTACTCTGTCCTACAATTGTGGTCACTATGACTCAGAATTACCTCAACAGCAAGGGGTTTGGTTTGGTTTGGTTTACACTTTTGATCACAGCAACATTTATGGGTTTTACAATACAATGCCTAACTGAGTGATTAAAGATATTAAAATGTCACCTTTTCTTTCACCTACTTTATTAATCTATTTTAAATGATTATATAAGGCAAGAGAAGGAAAAGCCTAGTGGTACAAATGGTTAAACACTGACATGCTAATCAAAAGGCTGGCAGTTCAAAGCACAGCTCAGAATGGTGATAATTGGTTCAGTCATGGCTGACGTGGTAAGGCTGAAACACCCAAATCTGTATAATGGGGATGTGCCAGAAAGATAACGGGAACAGGACAAATGCCAAGTGGAAGCCCTGGGATGGGAGACTCAGGAGAGGAGAGGTACAGTGCTCCCTTTCAGGAGCCTGATGTGGAAGGCTGGGTCACTGCCAGGTCTGTGGAGATGAAAGGAGACCTGCGGTGTTGTACCATCAGCACTGGATTGCTAAACGCAAGGGCAGGAGTTCAGACCCAGCTGCTCCTCAGCAGGAAGATGAGGGTTTCTGCTCCCGTAAAGACTGACAGCTTTGGAAGCAGGGATGCGATGAGTCAGAGCAGACTCCATAGCAGTCAGTGGCTTGGGTTTGGTTCTGGAGAATGACACATACAGAGCGCTGCAGTGGCCACCATCTTGGAGGAGGGCACTGTGGTTTCTGATTCTACCTGTCAAGAGACTTGCTTACTAGGCAACGTGCATGCTGCCCTTGTTTTCTAGCAGGGCACCAACCGATAATTTTACAAATTCAAGTCCATTCCAATTTCTCTTCATCAGTCATGCCTGAACTGGAAAGACCTGGTTTGAACCCACTTGGCAGCTCCATGGGAGAAGGGTCAGGTGATCTGATTCCATAACAATTACAATAAGGATAGTGACTAACTGGTATCCTGACTAACTGTGACTGTCACACCTGTAAAGGTAGAGGTTTTGTGACAAAAACAGGGGAGCAGTTAATCTTACTTACAGTCCAGAGGCAGAGGACCCTAGGACCATCAAGGGAGAAGAGCACAGGCAGAATGTGAGACCCTATCCAGAGAAGCAATGACACCAGAGATGGAGGCAGAGATGAAGACATGGAGAGAGAGAGTAGTGGAGGACTGTGAAATCATGGAAAGAGAGGAACTGGGTGCTGGCGGCCAAGAGGCAGGCTTGCAGAATGTGCTCTTTGGTTGTTTAAATGATTATATATTCCTGAGTGGTTTTGTGTACATGCTCCCCGCACCCCACCCCACCCCCCAAAACAAAACCACCCCAGAGGGAATGGAAGCAAATACTGTTGAATGAAGATGCAAGGAGGAAAGTGTAATCATTGCAATGAAATGATGGTGTAAAGCCAAAACTCTCTGATGTAAATGATCGCTCAATTCACAATAAACTTAAAAATATATAAAAAAGATTACAGCCAAGGAAACTCTATGAGGCAGTTCTACTCTGTCACATGGGGTCATCGTTGATTCCAAATTGACTTGGTGGCACCTAACAGTAACAACAACTCAACTTGAGTTTCTTTAACATATATTGCTGGTATTGTTAAGTGTCATCAAGTTGGTTCCGACTCATAGCAATCCTGTATAGCATTGCCAAGGAGCGGCTGGTGGGTTTGAACTACCAATCTTTCAATTAACAGTCCAGGACTTATCCTACAAGTCCACACCAGGATTAACATAGAGTCACATCTAAATGTCATCACTGAATGAAGTCAGCAAGAATGGTAGAGTAAGGACCCCTAAAAATCATCTCCTTCATAAAAGCAACGAGAAAAATGGCAAAAATAGTCAGCATCAACTTTTTCATATCTCTGAAAATTAACCAAAGGCTTGCAATAATCCAGGGAGTTTTGCTTTGTTTTTTCAAAAGAAAACAACTGAATCTTGCTAAGAGTGAGCTTTGTGCGATTTTAACTGGCTCAAATCCTTTCCCTCTCTCTCCGTCCCAGTAATCTGATTACTGGAAACCAGTAATCCTGCAATCTAAGCGAAAACCAGAAGCCTGGCTGCCTCTGCAGGGGGCAAAATGGGACTGGGGATTACTTCACAGTGCTATTCTCAGATAACTGTCATTATTCAACATGTCTGTGTCCTTGAAAATTTCACTTAAAAAGGTTTGTTTGATCTGATTCCAAGGGTACCCAATGCTAGTATTCTTTTCCCTAGGGCATTTGTCTAAAAAAAAAAAAGAACTGCAACTGATTAATACAGTAGCTGCCTAAGGTAGCAACAAACAACTGGGCAAATAACAGGCTGATCAAAAACTTCAGAAGGAAAAACTGGGAATTTGGGTACAGGGGGATTTGTAAATCTCCAATTTATTCCTGGTCACCTAGAAAGCTATGCACATACACAGCGCTATGCGCATGCCCAGGAAAGAACTGAGCTTTCATATCTGGCTGACCTGGAAACTGTGCACAAACAGAAGTAAAGGATAAGGCAGATCTGTAAGCTCCTGCCTGAGTGCAGGATTGTCCCAACACCCAGAGCCCATCCAGTCATAGCTGTTGTTGTTAGGTGTGGTGGAGTTGGATCTGACTCACACCAACCCTTTGTACAACAGAGAACCACTGCCTGGTCCTCTTGCAATCCTCACAATTGCTGCTCTGTTTGAGCCCCTGTTGAAGTCACTGTTAACCCATCTTGTTGGGGGTCTTCTTCTTTGCTGACCTTCCTTCTACTTTACCAGCATGATGTCCTTCTCCAGGGACTAGTCCCTCCAGATAACATAGCCAAAGTACATGAAGTGATGTCTCACCATTATTGCTTCTAGGGAGCATTCTGAATATACTTCTTTCAAGACATGGTGTTTTCAATAACCTCATATGGATGTGAAAGTGGGACAGTGAATAAGGATGACCGTAGAAGAATTAGTGCATTTGAGTTATGGTGTTGGAGGAGAATATTAGAAGTACTGCCAAAAGAACAAACAGATCCGTTTTGTAAGAAGTGCAGCCAGAGTGCTCCTTGGAGGCCAGGATGGTCAGACTTCGTCTCTCATACTTCAGACATATTGTCAGGAGGGACCAGTCACTGGAGAAGGATATCATGTTTGGTAAGGTGGAGGGTAAAAGAAAAAGAAGAAGACCCCCAGCAAAATTGATTGGCACAGTGGCAGAAGCAAAGGGCTCAAGCATAGCAACTATTGTGAGGTTGACCCAGGACTGGGCAGTGTTTCATTCTGTTATACATAGGGTCGCTATGCGTCAGTACCAACTCGATGGCACCTGTCAAAAACAAGAAGACAGATTTATTCATTCTTTTGGTTGTTGTCATTGTTAAGTGCTGTCAGGATAACTTACACTTGTTCTTCAGTAGCAACCTTGTAGTCCAGCACCACACCAGGATTCCAACAATATCATTAGGAAGAAAATAACAAAGATTGTTGTTGTTGTTGTTGTTAGGTGACATTAGGCAAATCTGCTGCACAAGACCTTTTTAAAGTGTTGAAGAGCAAAGACGTCAGCTTGAGGACTAAGGTACGCCTGACCCAAGCCATGGTATTTTCAATCACCTCATATGCATGCGAAAGTTTGACAATGAATAAGGAAGATAGTAGAAGAATTGATACATTTGAGTTATGGTATTGGAGGAGAACATTGAAAGTACCATGGGCTGGCAAAAGAACAAACTGATTTCTTGACTGCTGCTTCCATGAGTGTTGATAGTTGATCCAAGAAGAATGAAGTCCTTGACAACTTCAATCTTTTCTCCGTTGATAAGAATGTTGTTCATTGGTCCAATGGTGAGGATTTTTGTTTTCTTTACATTGAGATGCAATCCATGACAAAGGTTGTGCTCTTCGATCTTCATCAGTAAATATTTTAAGTCCTCTTCACTTTCAACAAGCAAGGTTGTATCATCTGCATATTGCAGGTTTTTAATGAGTTCCTCCAATCCTGATTACATGCTTTTCTTCATATAACCCAGCTTCTCAGATTATTTGCTCAGCATACAGGTTGAATAAGTATGGTGAAAGAATACAACCTTGTCGCTCACCTTTCCTAATTTTAAAATATTCAGTGTTCCCATGTTCTGTTCGAACAACTGCCTCTTGGTCCAGGTACACATTCCTCATGAGTACAATTAAGCGTTCCAGAATACTTATACTTTGCAATGTTTCCCATAGCTTTTCATGATCTACACAGTCGAAGGCCTTTTCGTAGTCAATAAAACACAGGTAAACATCTTTCTGGCACTGTCTGCTTTCAGCCTAGATCCATCTGATGTCAGCAATGCTATCCCTCGTTCCACGTCCTCTTCTGAATCTGGATTGAACCACTGGAAGTTACCTGTCAATGTATGGTTGCAGCCATTTCTGTATTACCTTTAGTAAAACTTTACTCATATTGGATATCAAAGAGATTGTCCGATGATTTCCGCATTCCGTTGGGTCACCTCTCTTTGGAATGGGCACAAATACAGATCTCTTCCAATCAGTTGGCCTGATAGTTGTCTTCCAAATTTCTTGGCAGAGATGAGTGAGTACCTCCAGTGCCGTCTCACTTTGTTGAAAGATT